GCCATCATCACCCTGCCAGAAAATTAGTGGATACTGAAGCGCATCATGTGATCAGTGTGTCTCAGCCATTCTCTGAAGAGAGTTGTTCCTGAGTTGCAACACAATGTCTCGATTGCCCTGTTGTTCACCAGCCAGAATGATAGCCACTTCTGATGTTGTGGGTGCATTGAAGCGCTGCTCATGCTCACCAGCTGGAGTTTTGTCTGCATGAATGACAACATTATACTCTGGAGACATCTTTTCCATGGCACACTTGAAACCGTGAACATAGTTGTTTTCCTTGTGGAGCATGTCTTGCAACTGCAACACCACCTGTAGGTTGGTTTAAATGACATTGTTGCAATGCTGTTCAGCCTACTTTGTATTGTTATCCATGAAGTAGATCTGAAGGAATTTGGGCTTTTCATTTGGGAGTGGCATCAGACTGCCAATCTGATGATAAACCTGGCCATGCACTTTAAATGTGGACATGTAGCCATATTCTCTGATGTCTTTTGTGGTGCCAACAGATGTCATTTGGAAGCATGAGTTGCGTCTTCTAATGTTGCTTTGGAAATGATGTGCATCTGGAGTGTTGCCTGTCAGCAATGTATGAAGGGGTTCAGGAGGACCATTCATTTGGGGCAGTTGAACCTTGACACTGTTGCAGTATAACCCTGGAGTTTCTCCTTTCCATCTCATTGCAAGGCAGCAGTTGCAAGAAGTTGCTATTGATCCAATTGCAACTAATGGATCAGAACCATAATCCAAGGCTGGATTGTAGAAGAATGCAGAGTTTTCTTTTTCCCTCCAGGGCCAGTTCCTGGTTGCAGCCATTGCTGCTCTGTTTGCAACTTGCTGTGCAGGAGTTTCAGTTGCTCTGGATGCAGCCATTGCTGCTCTGTTTGTTTGTCGTCTTGCAAGTTGCTGCTCTGGAGTCTCAGCTGCTCTGGCTGCAGCTTTTGCAAGGCAATTTTTGGCAAGATTGCTTCTTGTAGATTGCCTTATGGGGAATGTCTCTCACAACCCCTTAATCAGTCCCTGAGAAGGCCCAGTACAGTTTTCTCCCTGGACTTTCCTTAAGCCCTCACTCTGCCTGTGGGTGCTCCCAGGTCCTGTTAACCAGTCCCAACAACAGCCCTTAGGGGAATACTTCTAAACGCGGAGCCTTCTCCAGCTGTACCAGTTGACTTTGGCCAGGAGCTCTGAGTTTTGCTAAAGAATGTTTTGCACATGCAAATTTATTCTGCTTCCCTGTCACAGGGGTTTATGCAGTATAGAAATAAAAAAAGGCATTTTTTTTTAGCCAAATCAAAAAATAGCATCCAGGTGCATGCCCCTGGGTCCCCTTAGTATGCATGCAAAGTTTCAGGTCTCTAGGTATCATGGTCTTGGAGCTATGGCACTGACACACACACAGGCCCTTTTATTAATATAGATTCAAGAATTGTTCCTCCAAATTAAGCGCCTGTACCCATTACACTTTTACAAGAATGTAATTGGTCTTTATGCCATTGGAAAGAAGGAGCAAACAGATAAAAAATATATATGGGGTAACTTTGCCCAATCTGGTGTAGAATCAGTTTGGAAAGAATCAAAGATAAGACTACCCTCGTGTAAATTATGCTGATGTAGGTGTTGTGTATCTGCAAATTATAGTGAGGTAGCCATGTGTTCCACACAAGCAGGCTATTACCAGGTTCACCAATACCTAGTGGTACGATGCAGTTCTAGAGGCATATAGGAGACTACTTTGGGATAAGCTGCTTTTTGCATACTTGAGATTCTAAGAAAAATTGCTTCAGCATACAAAAATTATATATATATACACATAAAATCACACCTGTATATACGTAACATGTAGCCAGGCCCTAAGATACACGTGAGAGAATTTAGAAAAAAATCTAACATTTGTAACATTCTTAAACGTTGAAAAAGCCTAGCATTTTTGACGATAGAAAATAGTATTTTTCCACTAGAATTATTTATCGCTATTTTCATCATATAGGGAAAATTAAAAGCTATTGGTAGCAACTTCAAGCACAAATAAAAGCAAATGAAACTGGTACTATATTCTAGTTTGCAAGCCAATGACTTAACACTTCCTAACCTGCTGAACTGTTCTGCTCTGCTATTATAGTATATCAAATATCAAACATTTTAGTGTTTAACTTTCTAATAGAGTTGTAGTATGCCCTTTGCTTACAGCTTTTTAGTAATTAATGCAATTTTATATTGCCATTTTTGTAACACACATACCTAATCATTAGATAGGACTTAGTTCATTTTTTTTTCTGGCGGGTACAATTTACACCCATTGTTCAAATGGGGAGATATACTGGCAACTTGAGCCAATGTAGGTAATTCACTGACCCCACAATTAGGTTTCCAAAGTGAAGGTGCAAAATTGCACAGACAAAAATGAAAATATGGTGCTATAATCCTTGAAAAAGATGAGACTAGTCACATACCTGAGTCTCCAATTGAGGCCCATGTTTTTCTCCAGGCACCCCGGTATATGTCAGATGTTATGCCACTGGTATTTTTCAACAGGCTGGTCAGAAGAGAGGTAGAAAAATGCACAATTGGATTTTTGTAACTCAAAAATGACATTTTTCCATCTAATGAGAATAAGAACTTAAATGGAGTTTCTTTTGGGTTAAGAATGAGCATAAGACATGGCAGGGTGGGAAGGGACCTGAGCAGATCATCAAGTCCGACCCCCTGCCATGGGCAGGAAAGAATGCTGGGGTCAAATGACCTCAGCTAGGTGTCTATCTAGCCTCCTTTTGAAGACCCCCAGGGAAGAAGCCAGCACCACCTCCCTTGGAAGTTGCTTCCGGAGCCTAGCTGCCCTGACTGTGAAGTAGTGCCTCCTAATATCTAGCCTGAATCTGATCTCTGTCTACTTATGGCCGTTATTCCTTGTTACTCCCAGTAGTGTTTGGGGGAACAGGGACTCTCCCATTGCCTGCTGGTCCCCCATGGTCAGTTTGTAGACAGCCGCCAGATCCCCTCTCAACTTTCTCCTGTGGAGGCTAAACAGGTTCAGGTGCCTTAGCCTCCCCTCGTAGGGCCTGCCCTGCTGCCCCCTGATAATGCGAGTGGCCCTCCTCTGCACCCTCTCCATGCTGTCCACATCCCTCCTGAAGTGCGGTGCCCAGAACTGGATGCAGTACTCCAGCTGCAGCCTGACCAATGTCACATGGAGGGGGAGGATCACCTCCTTGGACCTGCTCGTGATGCATCTGTGTATGCATGACAAGGTGCAGTTAGCCTTTCTGACTGCATCCCCACGTTGGCAGCCCATATTCATCTTGGAGTCAATAATGACTCCAAGATCCTTTTCTGCCTCCATGCTGATAAGAAGGGAGTTCCCCAGCCTGTAGGTATGCTGCTGGTTCTCTCTCCCCAGGTACAATACCTTGCACTTGTCAGTATTGAGTTTGCAGACATTAAAACTCTCCCTAAAAAGTTGCTTTCCTGGAAGGAGCAGGGCATTACATCGACCTGACTCTGCAGTGTCTGTACAGATTGGGTGCTTCAGTGGGGCTTTTTGGTGCTTTTAGCTAAAGCTGATTCAATCAGCTATTAGATAAAAGCACCAAGAAAGCCCCACTAAAGTGCCTGATCTATACAGACATTGGAGGAGCTGGGTCCAACTAATGCGCTGCCTCTGCTGGGTACATGCTAGGCTCGGCATTGGAGTACACGAGTTTAAAGTAAAGTGCTATTTTGGGGGATGCGTTTAATGTCTGCAAAGCAGCATTTGACTAATATATTTTTTCTTTTCAGAAGCTTAAGAGCATCTAAAAACTGAGGCTTAAAATGTATATATTTTTAACTATGTGAAAACTGTAGTATAAATTACTAAAACTGGTTATTCATTTGTTCTTAAGTTTAAGGTTACAGTTACAGTTACAATTTGATTACATTATTTCCTACTATATATTAAATACTGATGGGACAGACATTTCAGTGATCTACAACCTTGCTCTTTTGGTTTCATTGTATAAGAAGACATCTCCTAAAATTGTTCCAGATGCTACAGATAATCCTCCTTTTTTCTGAAGTCTTTCAAGCATGTGCTGAATCATTGCAGTCTTTCCAATGCCAGAGTCTCCTGAAAAAAAATAGACAGGCTATTTAAAACATTTCAGCTGAAATTTTCAAAAATATCCACAGCACAAATTTGTGACAAAAATTGTATATATAATCTGTACGTTGTTCCTCTCACTGCGCATGGAATCGTGTTATGCCAGATTAGGTCCCCGATCCAATTATCCTAATGTATAAAAATTGAAATTTGATGATTAATGAAAACTGTTGGGTATGTAGGTGTAGCAAATAGATACTACCAGGAATATGGTAGAAAATATGACTTCTTCCACTATTGCTCCATTTATTTTTCCATTCCAGACCCTGATCTGGACTTTTTAATACCTTAAAATAGGGGTGCCAGGTCTGTACTGCGGGCCTCCCTGGGGCACAGGGCAGCAGTGGCAGGGATGGTGGGACCAGGGAGGATGATGGCAGGGATGGTGGCAGTAGGGCAAATGATGGTAGCCCAAGTGGCTTCAGGGAAAGCAGGACTGTGTCCACAGAGCCCTTGCTTGTCTTCCTGCTGACAATAGCCAAGTCCACTGGGACCCAGAGGCCTCAGATTCTGCAGCAGGTCACAACCCTCTAACCAGGCCCCCTAACTTCTGGTAGCCTGCTGGTAGTCCAGTGGGCAGGATGAAGCAACACCACAAGTTGGATCCAGCCCATGGGCCATGTATTTGACACCTTTGCCTTAAAAAAAACAAATCTACAAAGGACATAAAAACTGATAAAAGCAGCATGTCATGAACACTGAGGACTGTGAAGTGCAAGGGGAAATGTGTTCATGCCAATCTTCATCAAATGTGTTCACCCAACCTAAATCTATTATTGCCTTTTCTCAACTAACAAATTAATAACTAAGAGCCAAAAACTACATAAAATATGAAACTTTAAAATGCTGTTCATGACAAAAGAATTTGGGAAAAGATATCCCAGTTCTGTATATTTAGTGCAAGTCAGTTTAGGGCTCATTTCTCCAGTTTTACTGGCAGTCAATTGCTCAACCAGTATTTTGCTAAATGCTTTATTAACAGCTTGCTGCGAGATTGGTAAGGACAGCTAACCTACAATGAACGCTACTTTATGGAAACAGTTACATAAATACTAATGGAATATTCTGGGCACAGCTACACATGCTATGAATGCATCTGAATAAATTCTGGTCCCAGGGGCAGGAAGTCATCTGGGGTAAAAGGATCCCAGCAAGATAAACGTCCAATTGACTCTTAAAGGAGTCCAGAGTAGGTGCTTGCACCACCTCTGGCGGCAGTCTGTTCCAGGCCTTGGGGGCTCAGACAGTAAAGAAGTTCTTCCTTATGACCAGCCTGAAATGGTCTTGGAGGAGTTTGTGACCATTTAAACTTGTCATCCCATGAAGTGCTCTGGTGAACAGGTGTTCCCCTAGATCCTGATGTACACCCCTTATATACTTATCGGCAGCCACCAGGTTCCCCCTGAACCTGTGCTTTTCCAGGCTGAAGAGTCCCATAGCTCTCAGCCTCTCAACATAACGCCTGCTTTCCTGCCCTCTGATCATGTGCGTGACTCTCCTCTGGACTCTCTCAAGCTTCTCCACATCCTTTTTGAATTGTGGAGCCCAGAATTGGATGCAGTACTCCAGCTGTGGCCCCACTATGCCGAGTACAGCGGGAGGATGACATCCTGGGATTTGCTAGAGAAGCATCTATGGATGCAAGCCAGAGTTTTGCTTGCTTTGTCGGCTGCAACATCACATTTGTGGCTTATATTCATTTTGTGGTCAATCATGACCCCTAGTCCCTTTCAGCCGTGGTGCTAGCAAGCGTAGCACTGCCGAGCGTATAAGCATTCTGCAGGTTTTTCTTCCCAAGGTAGAGTACCTTGCATTTTTTGGTGTTGCAGGCCATCAGGTTTTTGTCTGCCCATTTTCTGAGCCTGTCCAGGCCGGCCTGGACCACCATCCTGTCCTTGGGTGTGAATGCTTTACCCCAAAGTTTGGTGTCATCAGTGAACTTGGCCAGTCCATTATTGACACCAATGTTCACATCATTAATGAAGATGTTGAAAAGAATAGGCCAAAGGACAGAACCTTGGGGGACCCGACTGGCCACAGTGCACCACAATGATTGACTTCCATCAACTACCACTCTCTGGGTCTGACCTCAGGGCCAGTTCCCCAGCTAGTGGACTGATGTAGCTGAGGCCACAGTTGGCCAGTTTTTCTATAAAATGATCATGGGATACCAGATCGAAAGCTTTTCTAAAAATCAAGATATATGACATCAATCTCTTCTCCCTTGTCCAGGTGATATGTCACCTGGTCGTAGGAGATGAGATTGGTCATGCAAGACCGACCCACAGCAAACCTGTGCTGGCTATCCCTCAGGATGTTGCCTTCAGCCAGTTCATCAAGAATGGTCTCTCTGATAATTTTTTCCAAGATCTTTCCTGGGATACAGGTCAGCTCGATGGGCCTATTATTCCCTGGATCTACTTCTCTCCCTTTCTTGAAGACAGGCACCACATTGGCCTTCTTCCAATCTCTGGCCAGTTTGCCTGAGCGCCATGAGTTCTTGAAGATCCGTGCCAGTGGCAGAGCTATGATGCTTGCCAGCTCCTTAAGTATCCTGGGGTGCAAGCTGTCTGGGCCAGCTGACTTGAAGGTGTCCAGCCTCTCAAGGTGTTCCTTCACATGGTCAACATCGATGAAAGGTAACAATTCTCCCTCACCCTGGTCATCCCATACCGAATCGAGCAGGGCCATCCCTTGGGGCTGGTGAAAAACTGACACAAAATACCCATTAAGCTGGTTGCCTTTTTCCTGGGTGTCGGTTGTCAGTTGACTCATATGGTAACCAAATGTTACCTTTGCTTTTCCTCCAGCTCCCCACATATCTAAAGGACTTTTTATTGTCCTTGATATGTGTAGCCAGTTGGAGTTCAGTTGCAGCCTTGGCTTTCCTGGTTTGCTCCCTAGAGGTCCGGACCAGTGCAGAGTACTCCTCCTTTGGGGTGGATCCAGTCTTCTGTCCTTTATAGGTCTTTCTTTTTAGATGCAGGAGGTCCACGAGTTCCCTGCAGAGCCAAGGGGGTTGCTGTGCCCTGCCTTTCCTCTGAGACGGGATAGATTTTCCTTGAGGTTCCAGGATCGCTCCCTTGAGAAGCAACCACTCTTCCTGAACTCCCCTCCCCTTTGGGTCGTGGTCCCCTAGGTCCTCACCAACAAGACTCCTGAGCTTGTCAAAGTCAGCTTTCCTGAAGTCGAGGACTTCTGTAAAGCTGGCAAGTCAGTCAGCAAAGCAGAAGATGGTGAAGGTGATCAGTTCATGGTCACTGTCTCCTAGCTTCCTTTCAATCGTTAGGTCACTGATTAAGTCATCCCCCATTGCCAGTACCAGGTCAAACTATACTTGAGTTTATGACTTTGTTGTTTTTTTTAATAGCACTTATCAATACAAATAACTGCAAAAATAATAAAAACCTGACCACACAGGCCTTATTTTAGAATTGGATGGAATTAAACACTATTGATAGACTACAAGATTTCCTGGGTATTTAAAAGTTGACAGTTTTTGTTACCTGTGATAAGTACTGGATGTTTATTCATTAAAAGAAGGCTTGTTAGAAAAGAATAGCAAATTGTGTCCATATTTGGAATAAATTTAAGAATCTCAGTTTCACTTCCTTGGCTCTTCATTTCATCACTCCTAGATGTTGGAGGATCTGAAGTGGATGTAGTAGCTATATAACAAAAGCAGACAGACACAAACACAGCTATTACTTTTTGATACTTTGGGACTTTGACATTTTGGGACTTCTTACAAGCTTAACAAAATTAGGTTGTATTCTGCCCAGGCTGCCCCCATATTGAAAAAAAAGAAACACTCTTTCCTATGCTTCCTTCTCAACGTAACAATGCAATGCTTCCACATCGCCCTATTATTGCATTAATTTATACTAGGGTCTACTTTTCTGCAGGGCACCTTTGCTGCTGTCACCAACTCCCTGCTGATTCCCAGGTCATGAACCTTACAGCTGCATGTCCTCCAAGGGAGGGAGCTGAGTTGCTTAGGAACTGACAATTCCTATTATGGGTTAGGTGAGGAAAAGCAGAATCATAATTTGATAAGATATGTGCCCTGGATGCAAACCCCAATAGCCCCATCAGAGACACTGATGTGGCAGAACATGTCAGCAGCTGGGTAGTTAATGCCCTCTAAAACTGCTTCTGTCTCCCAGTGCTGTTTAAACCCATCACCACCAGGACTTGGCAACAATTAATTCAGTGGCACCGATCTGCCCTGAGTGCTGTCCTAACATCCATGTACTGCTCTGAGTGCTGCTCCAAACCTTAACCCCACCATTCTAGCCACCAACCCAAGTGTTGCTAGCATCCTCTTTTAATCAGTGCCTGAGGCTCATGCCCTGGTCACCCACTGCTAGTTACACCATTGTGGAGAAGAATAAAAACGAGGGACTGCTGTTGGTTTGCACAAACTGGGCACATCTATATGTGCAACTGATGTGCACAAATAAACACTGCAGCTTATTGCTCTGGAGTTTTTGGTCTTGGATGTGCCATTTGAATGTGCACACAGGAGCAAAAAACTCTGGAACAATTAGCCCCCAAGTTTATTCATGCACAACATATGGAGCCCAGTGAAAGTAATCTGGGCTGTCAGGGGACCCAAGAGGTTAGCCTTCCAGCCCAGGGCTGCTCCAACACGGCTCCATGTGCAGAGAGAGAGAGAGAGAGAGAGGGAGAGAGAGAGA